ATTACACAGATGTGACGAACACACACACACAGCCTCAAAAGGGTTGTTGGAGGAGATGTGTTGAATCAGCAAAGGGCCAGTGAACAGATTTCAAAACATACCTGTTATTGGGGAATTGCAGGTTTTCTAGTGAGGGGCCTAGTGCAGACCCATTATAAAAACCCCACTAGATAACACTTGTTTTATTCACAATCTGGAAGTGAATAAGATCTTTCCTGATTAAATTTTGAGGTTGACATTCAGGTAGGACAAGGACAGGACAGTCACACAGTTGATCTGCATCACTTGGTAAGCTGGGCTCACTCAAACGAAATGCATTTCACTATTGCCAGAGGCAACGTTCTCCATCTAAGAACAAGCAAAGCAGGTCCAGCAAGGCATCAGGGACTGTGTACCCTGCAAAGCAATAACTGAAAAGGGTTGAGAGGTTGCACTCAGCACAAGCTTCAGGCTCAAAAGTCTGAACAGAGAAGAAGGGTAAGAAAGAAATCAATACTACTCCCTGTGCTACCCTGCACAATGACAATGCTCAATTCACATTTTTAAGAGAATGCTGAAAAATTGAAGATATTGCTAAGCCCTCTCCCCCAAATGGTTGAAAAGCTGGAAAAAATACCTTGTAGGAGGAAAGGAAAAGAAATGGAGAGACGATTTGGTCACAGCACCGAAATACACCTAGGGTACTCTAAAGGGCTCCTATCAAGTACTGCAACAATTAGTGCAGTCAGGACTGGATTTATTTACATTCAAAACCAGGACCCCGTAGATGCAAGTGTCTAACCCTGGACAGATTCCCCAGATCAGAGGTAGATTGCTCATCTCTTCACACCATCCAATTGGACTGGACCCTGTTCTGCAGGGATTTGAAACAGGATCCACTCTGCAGGTGGATTTGAAACAGGATTAGACCCTTGGGCAGAGAGGAAGTGGTCAGAAGAGAAGGCATGATACAACAGCTCCATCTGGATACACTTTTTTGGGAAGGAGCATCAAGCCCAGGTTTCTGAAGCACCTCTTCTAGCATCCAGAGCTGGGGGATCAGATCTGGGTCTTGGCTGATGACAAACAATGGGACCATTGTACCGAGGCAGCACTGGGCTACCCTGAACAGCCATCGATATCTCTCAGGCAGGATAACACCTCTCTCTCTCAGTAACCACCTTCCTCTGCATACACAGCCTGCTCAAGAGCTGAGCAGGGTGGAACTTCCCCTAGATGCTTGAATTTACTCAGCCCCATAGGCACCAGCAGCAGGAAGATGCACTTCCTGAAGGAGTCCCCAGAGCCAAACCGGATGCGTGCCAGCCCGAGCAGGCAACATGCTGGCCACTGCTCTCCTCAGACAAGGCAGACAACAGGGTAGAGAACTTGGCAAGAGAAATGGGCTTTCCAGCCTCCTCAGCTGTCAATTTAGGGGAAGAATTTCTCTCCACATCCAGTTCTGGAACTTTAGAGGAACTTAAATGCTAAAAGTTGTCTGCAGACCAAGGCTCACCCTTGCAGCTTCCTCACTGCTTGGCCTCCTTCTGCAAGTCATCCGCTGACTGTTTAGCTCCAAGATGCGGGTGGTGATGCCTTTGACATGAAGAAGATCGTCAAGTGAGTTGAAGCCTTTCAGTTCCTGTTGGAGGAGAAGCAAGATTCAATATGGAGCTGGATGACCCAGGGACCAGCCTCCAGGCAGGACCAAGCCTGCTCACACCCTCTTCAGATACACTGTTTCCTGACAGGTGATCTGAGACCTACCAGCCTACATTACATTTGCAGCCACAGGCTCACTTTAGTATTTGGCAGTGTGTGTGTGTTGGAGGTGTCATAGCAGGGCGATTTCTTTGCATCTCAAGTCCTCACTACGGCTCCCATCAAAGTTAAGGAACACCTTTTGCCTAAAACAGCTTTTCCCTCATAATCCTCCATAAATGTTTCTACAGACCTTCCCTGCCTTGAGTGACAACTACAATGCCTAGCTACATATGCCTGTAAGGAAAGAGCAATAACACTAGAGCTGTTGCTACCAAAGGGAGCAGTGGTCTCAAAGGAAAAGCTAAAAGCTCAGAAAGGAGAACTGTGGCTTTCAGCCAGCTAGTCCCAAGACTGGGAGCCATCACTGGTCCACACAGCTCATCTCCCTTGTCTGCAGTTCAAAGGAAAGAAACCAGCCCCCACTTCCTGCCATGCACGCGCACGCATGCACACACACACACACGCACGCAAGGCACCCATTATCCTGCAAAACACCAGCTCAAGCATTAATGGTCAGCCCCACAGACACCCAGACCACAACTTTCAGCAGATCCTACCTACGCCCTATATTGACTCCAAGCAGCTTCTGCCATGAATCTGTCTATGTACAAGGACCCAGAAGCAGTGGGGACAGTCAGACTATTACAAAGGGAACAGGATGCTGAGGGAAAGCATTCTCCCTTCCCAAGTAACACAGACGTCAGGGCCGAGTCAAGGTTCCTATCATCTTTTCAAATGTCTTATGCATCGTCGAAAGTCAATTCTGCTACTTACTCCCAATAAGTGCTTTTCACCCAGGCTACTGCTCTAATACTGAATTTTATTTCTATAAGTTCATTCTCACCTGTTTTAAAACCAACACTATCCTTTAGTTCAAATGGCTCTTACTCTTCTGCCTCCATGTTGTTTACATTCCAGCTGTATTTATAGCCGGTGACCCTGCCCCTCTCAGCCTCCTCTTTTCCAGGCCAAAAAAAGTCAAGCTCTTCTTGTCTTCCATTTCCCTGATCTCTCCTGTCTCTCTTCTCTGCCGACTCCTACTTGAACAAAGAGGCTGCATGTCAGCTAAGGTCTTGCTGCTTCTTTATGGCATTAAAGGCATTAAGATGACATTAATCTCCCTGTCTCTGCCAAAAGCACAATGACAGACACAGCCTGAGATCACATTTACCTTTTTCTTAGCTGTGTCACACTAGCAGCTCACAGTCATACTGTGAGTGACTAGTACACTCAGGCTTTTCTCCTACTCTGTCATTTCCAACAGTCACATCACAGGGGAACGGCAGGATTTCTAACCCACTGTGACCACACCAGATGGGCTCCTACCCTTTCCTGCACCTGCTAATTCCATGCACGAATTCATGTTTTTCTGCCCTTAGCAAGCAACATCATCTGCCACCAGCCCCCAAATCCCAGATCTTTAATTTCCCAGGGAACCTACAGGTTGGGGCCGGCCAGGCTGAAGGGAAGCGCTCCCCCAGGAGAACTCCGACCTGGCCTGCGCTGGGAGGCTCCCGTCCAGGGAGGTTCCTGCCCTTGCTCCTTCAGTGACAGCTCGCAGACCTTGGCACGACCTGCTCACGCGGGGCGTGAACAAAAGGCCCCGCGCAGGAGCCGCCTCGCCGGGCGCCCGCTGCGCAGCAGAGGTGTCCCTCGCCCGCAGCCGGGCTCGCTGCC